TCTCGTTGTTGATGAGATCTAGGCAAACACGTCAGACCTTCCAGCTTGAGGAATTAAATCAATAACGCTTGAATACCAGCAACACAACTCTGTGTTAACGATCCACATCCATACACCCGCGCACTTGTACCAAGGCTTTCCGTCCGAAGCCATATTTCGCCAAAATGAATCTATCATTCAACACTGTATGCGCAACATCTGATCTAAAACCGTCCGAGTTTCGTTCACACACACACACACACACAAACACACACACAAACACACACACACACACACACACACACACATGAAAAAACAGCATCCATCGGCCATTAGCAAAGTGAACCACACGTTCACTTACGAGAGCTTCCCCTCAGCTGCGGCTGCGAAGTTGCCTGGCATGCAACTCAACCGGCACATCGCATGTACATCGAAGTAATTAAGCAAGGAAATTTCGAGCAAGTTCGGCCGCAGTTAGCCTTAGCTCTTCTGCTTTTTTACGAATGCACACGTTGAAAGATCAAGAAGATCTATAGCCAATACAAAAAAAAAAAATTTCAAACTCCAATGATGCACGGGCACACCTGCTGAATGCCAATACACGGGACGGCTTTATTGAGTTTGGTGTTCAGCTCGCTAATTGTCTTTAACAAATCCGTTGGATCAACATATGCACGAGAGGAGGCCTTCAGAAGAGCGGCAAGACCACGCAGAGCGATCAAAAGTGGAACTGTCACTTCAGTCGTATTCGCCTAAAATCAATACATTAGTATCGGCAATAATCTAAATAAGACTAGAAATCTATGCGTTTCAACAGAGCAAGAACCACATCTGACAGTTAAAAGTAAACAATCCAACACGGCATAAATTGAAAGAACATTTTTTTTGCGGCGCCAATTAAACTGGGTGCTAAGTCAGAACAGCAACCGCCGTAAAGAACCAGTAGAAGCGCGATTTTCCGCCTCAGTGCCAAGCGTGAAAGGCAAAAATGTCAACCCTCGGCCATAGCACCAGGCAGTTTCGCTCCCAAAGTCAGCTTCCATTCAGTCAGCACTACGTTTTGGAAGAACGAAGGAGGAGAAAGCAAACAAACAGACCAGCATCATAATTATTGGTTTTGATCTCAGTAACAACAAAAAACATAAGTTGCACCAACGATGCGGGGGGTATGCTGAAGTGGAATCAAGCAGATGATCAAAAGAAGCTGACGAGCACGCAGTTTTCTCATGGAATTAAGCTAAAACGGGGAGGGCAGGCCTTCTAATGAGTCTAAGACAGAAAGAAAATCACAGTACCAGCAGTGTATAGCTATGTTCTGTAGTCGAGCTACAATTACTGAGTGCTTGTCGCTTCCTCACTATACTGTGTAATATTTAATTACACTACGCTGTGAGAGTACGGCAAGCATATTCCAGAAAAATCACAAAAATGCCTGCTCAATTTCACACCTCGTGCGAAAGAGCGGAGTCAGTTCGCCATGCGCTCTGCTGTTGGCTGAGAGTTGCGATTCCTCTTTTTTTGATGTTGGCATCGAACAACATTTGCCGAAAACGCGGGATATGATACAGTGTCTAAAACATAATTTAAAATAATTGGCCAACGCATGGGCTGCCCGTGCGAAGATGCGTTTTTTGCATAGTTCCCCGCAGTTTTTGTCGCTACCGGCATTGGCTTTTTCAGTAAATGCTTCTAGCTAAATAAATTAAAACTGGCCGCCAGAACTGTCAGGAAACACCTCCTTAAAATTTCAGCTTTCCAGCTTTTAAGGTTCCCGAGTCAACAAGTTACTCGTAAAAAAACTCTCACAGACCCGTACATGGGAACCACGCACATCGGACGGGGGAGAGGGGGGGGGGGGGGGGGGGGGGGGGGG